TAGAAAACAAGAGTTTAAATGTGACGTTTCTCCAGGAGACTCACAGCACTGCTGAGAACGAGAGTGACTGGAGGAGGGAGTGGGGGGGGGAGGGTTTCTTCAGCCATAAGTGCAGCAATAGTGGAGGGGTCGCAATTCTTTTTGCAAGGGGCTTTACACCCTTCTCCTGTACGGTCGATGAGGTCATCCCAGGACACTTGCTAAAAGTAAATGCTGAATTTGAAAAAGTTAAAATATGTTTTATAAATATTTATGCTCCCTGTGTGGGCGCAGAGAGGCTCTTGTTTTTTGAGAAACTGAAAGATACTCTTAGCACATGTGATAGTGAGGAGTATCTGTTCCTGGGGGGGGACTTCAACTGCACAGAGAACCCTGTGCTGGATAGGAACCACCAGGAGCCGCATGCTGCCTCAAAGAGTGCCTTAATGAGACTCACAGAAACCTTTGAGCTGTGTGATGTGTGGAGGCACTTCCACCCGGGCCAGCGGCAGTACACGTGGGTGCACTCTAGGGATAACCTGTTGTCTCTAGCTAGGCTGGACCGTGTCTATGTGTTTAGCCATCACATTAATGTAAGCAGAAGCTGCTCCATCAGTCCAGTGGGAATCTCTGACCATTCCCTGGTACAGGTCTCACTTTTTATTAATCATGTTAAGTGTAATAGTGCGTATTGGCACTTTAATGCTTCTCTGTTGGCCGACAACCATTTTAAAAATGTTTTTAAGTTTTTTTGGGAAAACTACCGGTTATCTAAGAGTGAGTACAATTCTCTTCAGCAGTGGTGGGATATAGGTAAAGTGAAAATCAAGCAGCTTTGCCAACAGTACACTTTCAATGTCACAAAGGACATGGCTAGATCTCTGAGAGCTCTGGAGAGAGAAGTGGTGGAGCTGCAGGGTTTGGCAGACTCCACAGGAGAGCGAGAACATGTTAAAGTTTTCAAAAGTAAAAACTCAGCTCTGTCTGACCTGCTGGGGTTTTCTGCTCAGGGTGCTCTGGTCAGATCCCGGTTTCAGAACATCGTGAAAATGGATGCTCCCTCTCACTTTTTCTTTGGTCTCGAGCGTAAGAATGGTCAGAGGAGGCTGATGCACTCCCTGCGATCCAATGCGGGGCAGCTGCTTCAGGAGTCCGCCGACATTCGTCAGTGTGCTGTGGAGTTCTACAAAGAGCTCTACAAAACAGAGTTCCAGGCCGAGCCAAAGGTGGCGCAGTCGTTCTATGAGGGCCTTCCTAACGTCCCTGAGGAGGACCATGCAGAGCTGGAGGCAGAGCTCTCTGCCCAGGAGCTGCAGTAGGCCCTGCAGAGCATGCAGAGTGGGAAGGCTCCTGGCATAGACGGCCTGCCTGCAGACTTCTATAAGGCTCTCTGGCCGGTTATAGGAGACGACCTGCTGAGTGTGCTCAGAGACAGTCTAAGTAACGGGAGGTTGCCTCTGAGTTGCAGGAGAGCTGTGCTCACTCTCCTCCCTAAGAAAGGAGACCTGCAGGAGATTAAGAACTGGCGTCCTGTGTCTCTACTCTGTACCGACTACAAGCTGCTTTCCAAAGTGTTAGCAACGAGGCTGAGAAAAGTGATGGAGCATGTCATTCACGTAGACCAGACATACTGTGTACCCAGCAGGTTGATAACTGACAACGTGACTCTAATTCGGGATGTTTTGGACCTCTCCGGTTCATTGGGCTGTGAGCTTGGTCTGTTTTCTCTAGACCAAGAAAAGGCTTTTGACCGAGTTGAGCACCAGTACTTGTGGCAGACGCTGGAAGCTTTTGGGTTCAGCTCTGGTCTCATAGCCAAGATCCAGGTCTTGTACAGGGACATTGAGAGTGTACTGAAGATAAACGGTAGTTTGTGTGCTCCTTTTGAAGCTCAGAGAGGAATCCGACAGGGCTGCTCTTTGTCCGGGATGCTCTACTCCCTGACCATAGAGCCGTTTTTACACCGGTTAAGGTCCAAGTTACAGGGTTTCTCTTTTCCTGGCTGTAGGGATGTTTTTAAATTGTCTGCGTATGCGGATGACATAATGGTCTTTGTTAAAAAACAAGAGGACATTAATGTTTTAACTGAAACTGTGAGCAACTTTTGCAAGATCTCATCTGCTCGAGTCAACTGGGGGAAAAGTGAGGCTTTAGCAGTAGGAGAGGGCAGCATTGACAGATTGTTTTTACCTGGGGGCCTTGGTTGGAAAAGGGCAGGGTTAAAGTACCTGGGTATTTATCTTGGTGATGACACGTTTTGTTTGAAAAACTGGGACGGGCTTATAGAGAAAGTGGAAGGCCGGTTAAAGAAGTGGAAGTGGATCCTTCCCAAACTTTCTTTTAAAGGGCGTATCCTTATTTTAAACAACCTTGTTTCCTCCATGCTGGCTCACCGGCTGGCATGCACCGACCCGCCCGTAAACCTGCTGTCCAGGGTGCAGGCTCTCATGGTGGACTTCTTCTGGGACCGCATGCACTGGGTCCCTCAGAGCGTCCTGTTCCTGCCAAAGGAAGAGGGGGGGACATGGCCTGGTTCACCTGGCGAGCAGAGGGGCTGCTTTCAGGCTCCGGTTCGTCCAGAGGTTCCTGACTGGACCTGCTGACCTGGTCTGGAGACCCGTAGCTTGGGCCTTACTGGAGCGCTGTGGTGGGCTGGGTCTGGCTGAGTCGCTGTTCCTCATGGACCTAAAAGGATTACGCCTGAATAATCTCTCAGGTTTCTATGGAGGTCTCTTCAAGGTGTGGGGACTACTCAGAAAAGAGAGACCAGACTGCTGTGGCTCACTGTTCTGGCTCCTCAGAGAGCCGGTGGTCCGTGGATCTCGTTTTGTGTGTGGAGTAGGGCCTTCTCTACAACAGAGACTCTGTGAGGAGAGGATCCTCATGCTGGGCCAGGTGGTGGAGGTGTGTGGCCCCCGCCTAGACAACGCTGCAGGCCTGGCCTCACGTCTGAGCCTCAGGTCAGTCCGGGTGGTCAGCCTCCTGCTGCAGAGCTGGAAACAGCAGCTCAGCCAATCAGAGCTGGCACTGATCGCTGCTCACTGTAACGGACTGAAGTCTCCAAATGACAATGACTCTTTTCCAGAGATGCTATGTTTTCCTGATCTCAGTTGTGAGGGTTTTTTGTTAAAGTTGAACAATGTTACCGATTTTAAGTTTAGCACCATGTCCAACAAAACCTTTTATTATCTGGTGACAAAGGTGCTGAATCAGAGCAGACTCCAGGAGCGAGTGGACACCCAGTGGAGAGCCCACCTGGGCCTGACGGAGGCTCAGAGGCCTGAGTGGAGAGCGCTCTACAAGCCTCCGCTGACTAAGAGGGGTGGGGACCTCCAGTGGAGGGTTCTCCACGCTGCGGTAGCAGTAAATGCGTTTGTGTCAGTGATCAACCCTACAGTGTCTGACGCCTGTCCTTTTTGTGTACAGAGGGAAACCATTTTTCATTGCTTTACAGAATGTGGTCGACTCCTTTGTCTTTTTCAGTTACTCGCTCAGATGTTGATTTTGTTTAATGTGGTTTTTTCTAAGTCAATGTTCATTTTGGGTTGTAGGTACAGCCAGAAGCAAAAGTGCAAAAGTCAGCTTTTGAATTTTTTGTTGGGGCAGGCTAAAATGGCCATCTACCTCAGCAGGAGGAATAAAGTTGCGGAGTCACTGGATACCGATGCAGTTTTGATTTTCAAGCGGATGGTAAAAGCAAGACTAAAAACGGACTACAGTTACTTTTGTTTAACCAAAATGTGGGAGAATTTGAGGCCATGTGGTGTCTTAAAAATGCTTTGTGTTCTGTGGTGAATGAGGATCTTATTTTCAGTCGTTTTCTGAACTGACAATGTGTGTTATTGTGTCTGTTTGGTTATTTGCTATGTGAATAAAAGTGGTTTGAAAAATCAAAATCAAAATCTCTCTCTCTCTCTCTCTCTCTCTCTATCTCTCTCTCTCTCTATCTCTCTCTCTCTCTCTCTATCTCTCTCTCTCTCTCTCTCTCTCTCTCTCTCTCTCTCTCTCTCTCTCTCTCTCTCTCTCTCTCTCTCTCTCTCTCTCTCTCTCTCTCTCTATATGACGGCTTGCGTTCAAAAATAATAATAAACATATTTGTAAAGTGGGGGGACACAAACGGGGTTTCGAAAAGTGGGGGGGACATGTCCCCCCTGTCCCAGGTGGAAATTACGCCATGCGTGTGTGTGCGTCAAGTGCAATAAATATATATGCAAGTTGCAACACACACACAGTAAAACTCTGACCCCCATGTGCTGTAGAGGCTGGCACGACTAGGCTGTTCAATGGGGCTGATGTGTTGTGTAGATTCTGCCAGAAGGAAAATCAGCGGGGAGGTGCCACATTGCTTTTCTTCCCGACTGCAACGCTGGTCCCGCAAATCAAGCAAGAACGTGATTGGTCGATATTCATTGTGGGGGAGGGGGGAGGAGGGGTGTTAGATAGATATAGAGCTGTAGTAAGTAGATAGAGTTTGCTATGATTGCGGTTTTGTTTATGCATAGGGTAGATTCTTTTAATTACATTTCCTTTTTTGTTTTGTGTATTTTATACATTTTGGATTTGCTTGGCGAGCTATTTTTAGAACATGCCCCGCGGGCGACTCACGTTGCCCCTGCGGGCGACTAAGTGCCCGCGGGCACCGTGTTGCCTACCCCTGGTCCAAGGCAACATATACACAATGCATTTTGGACTGTGAGCTACATTTTTTATATCGTAATTTAATTTCGAACAGTTATTTAAGTTATTTAATAAGTTAACAACCATTTGTTAACATTAGTTGAAATGTTTTACATTATCATATGATTATTCACATAAGCATTTAAATTCTTACTATTTCACGATCTGTCTGTGTTTTATTTTTGTCCTGTGTAGATATGTCTTTTTGGTTTCCTGTTTTAGTTTGAAAAGTGTTCACCCCAGGTCTTTTCTGTTGCTTCCTGTCTCTGTGTTCCCTCCTACCTGATTACCCGATTGTGTTCACCTTGTGCCCCTGGCTGCGTCTCACTTCGGTTATTTTTCATTTCCTCGCTCCTCGGTCTCGGTATCACTGGAAGTTGTCTGCGCCATCTTGAGTAGCGTCCCAGTGGCCTTATTTGTGCCGGAGGACCGAGGAGCGAGGAGCGATAACGGAGGAGCGATAATCGAGGAACCACCAGACCATCCTCCGGTGAAATCCTCAGACACTCGCCCCGCCCCCTTACTGTGTATCGCTCACTGATTGGACGATGCAGCGCATGCACTGATCTGATGCTTCTTGACATGAGAGCAGTTTCCCAGCGGAGTGAAGAAAACACATGAAACTCACTGGACTCACTCCTCAGTTTATACTGGGTTTTGTTTCAATGAATGCATCATTCAGTTACAAATATGTGATATATCTGAACAACAAAGTGGTCAAAAATAATTTTATTCATTTATTGGAAACATTTTCATCATCGCTTTTTTCGTTTGACATTTTCATTTATTGTCATTTCCATTCAGTCAGTCATTAAGTACTATTTAAAATGTTAATGTGCTACATATCCACACAAACAGACAAAGTGTGCAATCCAATGAATGTTAATCTAACTGGGTTTTGATAGATAACATATCTCTTTTTCTTCTCTCAATTATTTTATTTATATTGTGCACTCTAATCAATATTAATCCAACTATTGTTCGTTTATACATTTTAAGAATGGCGTTTGACTGATTCTATAATTTAGGGTGCATTTCACATCAACAAAACAGTACAAAGAAAGTGTTCTTTCTCAATAGAACAATCAGTGGTTCAAGTTAGTATATTCCTCAGTGTAACATATCCACTAGTTGCAAAGCTTAAACATTTTTATTTATTTTTTTATTTTAAGGGAAAGGATGTTTTCACTACTCAGTTTGTCAACTATGTTACGGACAAACTTGATGTCATTACAATCATTTGATTAAGTCCTGCACTTCAAGTAAAATCAAATTTGAAAGGCTCTTGAGTCTATTCTACCATATATCCAAAGATTTTTTAAAGTTTAAAAATAATTGTATTAAAGTTTTGTTTTTTCATGTGATATGTTCAGCACTGTCATTAAGTTTAGGGATATTTTGTATTATAAAACTACCATACAGGTCATTTTGATAGTTTTAAGAGATGTCATGTAAAACTCCAACCTGTGTATACATTATACTATAAAGCAGGGCTATTCAATTAGTTTGGAATGGGGGCCGGTTGATGAAAATGATCCAAAGCAAGGGGCCGGGAAAAAGATGGCTTGAATTATGAGCAATCATATTTAAGAGCTTCAGATACAGTAAATACTACAACAGCATAGTGGAGTGCATATATTGTGTTTAATTCAAACAAACAACATAGCCCCAAGGCCTTTATAGATCTAAATGGCAAGTTCAGAACTCAGTAGGCCTACATGTTTCATTTGATTTCATTTAGGTGAAATGATCTAATCATTCACGCAGAGATGCAATCAATGACAGGAGTTGTCACTACAGTATAGTAGGTGGGTTCGAAACCCGAGCCCGTCGAAGTGTTCAGGCATTGTCTACCCCTCTATCTCTCAATGTAACACCCTCTCTGGAATAAAGGCACTATGGCACAAAAAAAAAAAAAAAAAAAATCTTAAAAAAAAAAAATTGATTACTTTTTAACATTATACTCAAAGGGCCAGTAAATATCACCCCGGGGCCGGATTTGGCCCGCGGGCCGCCAATTGAATAGCCCTGCTATAAAGGATATCAGAAGCACTATTTTAGATATTTTAAATTTGAAAAAATTAGGTGCAACATAGTTGACAATGAAAGTCAAACATTTGACGCAAATAACATAGTTGACTGGACACATTATTAACCATCAGCACTATGTTAATTTCAAGGCAGAAGTGCAAAATTCCATTGATAATGATGTGTAATGACGTCTACATGTCATACAAATTGTCAACTAGGTTACCTGTCAACTAAGTTACTATAGTTATTACAGTAATAACTTAGTTGACAGGTAACCTAGTTGACAATTTCCCTATTTTGACCCATCATTTCAATGGTAGGCCTTGCTTGGATGACCACATGTCATTTTCTTGAACAGGTTAACATCACATTTGAACATATAATTGAATTAAAATCATTAAACAATTGTAAACCATAACAATGTACGTAACATTGTTGATGGTCAATTAATATATTCATTGACAATGTGCTATTATACATAAAATATTGTAAAAAATTAGAGGACAATCACCACAGTGTGTTCATCATGTGATGCTGGTGACATGGTATTGGGACAAACCATTTTTGAGTTAAAGAGGGGAGTTCTGTTAGTAACATAGTTGACAGAACTTTTGCGGACATTCATATATTAAGATATTTAAATGATTTAAAGGGGGAAATCAATTAAAAAGATGTTATTATTCTTTAGTATTTAGACTTTTGAAATAAATGAATCATTTTTTTAATTTACTTTAATGGTTTTTATTCATTATTTTGAAACCAAGACACTCTCAACTGAAAAACGGATATAGCAAAAACTGACAATTTAAGAACATCATGACACATTTCAAGCTAAATAAAGCATAGGATGCACATAATGTTTGTGTGATATTATAACATGCTTTCCAATAATAGGCAAAATATGATATTTTTGAAGAAAATAGTTAGAATAATTATATTTATCATCAATGGACAACAATGGACATGGAATGTACCCTAAATTGTAGAATCACTCGTTTATCGTTTTTGAGAATGAGTTCTTATTTAATTTAATGTATTTGGGTCTACAACAGATGATACAAATGTTTGTGTCAGTAAATGTGTACTAACAGAGGCGGGGGTGTTTGTGAAAATAACGGGGACAGAGCTGCTGTCAGACGAACAGCTGTGCGGCGTCATCACAAACGGACGTCGCTTCACGTGACGCTCCGGAGGAAAGGACGTCCCATTGCTCTTAAAACTCATTTCCCTGCTTCTCGTGGTTTCCTTGCGTCTCTCCATGCTTCCCTGGTGGGAGGGACTAAACGCAGGGAAACGACGCAAGTGAGGGACGCAAGGATTCCATTTAATCTAAGTGAGATGCAGCCCCTGTGTCTTGTTTGTTTGATTTGTCCTGTGTGCATTTAGGTTCTGCTTTTTCTGTTAGTCTTTGTGAGGTTGTTGTTGACTGTGTTCACGGGGGAGAGAGTTCTGCTCCGTATGTTTACTTGTAGCCTTGAAATAAAGGTATTTTCTGTTAACCTCGTATCCGTTCCTGCATTTGGGTCCTGCCTGCTTCGCTCACCCCTGACAGAAGGATCTCACCAGTAGTGATCATACTTGCCAACCCTCCCGATTTTCGCGGGAGACTCCCGATTTTATTGCCCTCTCCCGGTTTCCTCCCGGGGTCATATTTCTCCCGATTTCTGACAAAATCAGATTTACTCCCCCCCCCCCCGCAGTGGTTTTGAAATGCTCCCGATTTCTGAGGTCTCAAGGTTGGCAAGTATGATAGTGATGGCAAGATGAAACCTTATGAAGCTTTGAAGCTTTCCAGCCAATTGGTTCGCAAGAGGGTTCATCTCATGAGGCTTCATTATGGGCTTCATCTGAACACAAACCCCCCTGTTGGTCAAAGTGTGTAAAACAGGCAGATTTGACATCTCAATAGTGTGCTCTATCTCATACCGAGTTCCCAATGAGTAAAGCCTTAGAATAACTCTAAACAACGAACATTAAATCATATTTTAATGTTAACAATATTGTATTTATTCCAGTGTAATGATTGTGTCCTTGTGAAGGAGGCTGGTAAACATTGCAAAGAGGGATTTGTATTCCTTAATCCGATGGCCAGTCCGGGCCTGCCGGTGAGCGTGGAAGTGTGGTCTGCCACAAGCGGGCGGCAGGAGCGGGGCTGTCAGCATCAGCTTGTAGATGGTATTTTAAACTCGATGCGCTCTGAAACTACGGGGCGGCCGAGGACAAAAAATACGCATGCGTTAATCGCGTTAAAATAATTATTAACGCGTTAACTTGACAGCCCTAATATAAATAGATAGATAGATAGAGAGAGCTCTGTTTTACAGCCTGAGTCTATTTAAAGTGGACCTATCATGCTATATTTGAATAATATAGTGTAGGACCATACCTACAGTATATAAGGCATATTTATACTTTTTTCAAAATACCAAACAGATCATGCATTTTAGCCATGCCTCAATTTGACATTTTTTAGCTCTGTTTGTGTAAGGGCAGATAAGGGCAGAACAGCACCATCTACTGGCCTGGCATATGTACTACAGCGTCTCCAGCGCTTTCGAACGGCAATGGCCGTGGCTGTCTCCTCCTGATTGGTGGAGTTGGCCCAATAGCCGTAGCGCCACCGTCCTGACGTCAGGACAGTGTTCAAATCTGGATCAGTTTTTATCAGATCCGTTGCAGCCCCTTTTTTAGAGATTTGGGTATGGAGGAAAATAGAGAGGGTTGTGTTTTCTGACACTTGATGAGTTCCCTGGAACACCGGGGACACATATTCATGTATAAAAGACGTACAAAAGTGCATTTTGCATGATAGGTCCACTTTAATGTATTGTTTTGGTTATGTGTGATTAATTTATTACAATTTAATTAATTTGTTTTATTTATTATATATCATTTATATATTTGAATATTATTTCACATTTCATTTGCAATGTTGAATGTTCACTAAAAAGTTCTGTTTGAAAGGATGTACTTGAATTATTATTATGTCAGTGGTCTAAAATGGTCTTACAACAGTGCCGACAATATTATAGTTTATCGCAATAATTTCCAGGAAAATGTATCGTCCAACAAAAATAATTATCGTGACAGGCCTACTTATGACATGTTCCGACCTCTATATAAGTGAGGGTGCTTAATTCCATCGTGTCATCAGGCCCGGGTACAGGAGGGGTATTATCGTTCTTATTATACATCCATGGGTATTATGAGCGTTGTGGTTCAACCGATCGAAAGCAATTTCTGAAGCAGTCACGTGGTATTGAGGGGACGCGAGGCTTCGTTTGTCATCGGTGACGTCACTGGCCTAAAACTATACAAGCCTCGATACA